GTGAGGTTAATACAAAGAAGAAAGAAAGATAAAACTGTAGTTCGAAGTTTGGCGCATACTGCTCAACTGGACACTAAACTAATGTCGCCATTTGGTGCTAGCGGTTAATATAGAGTAAAATAATTACAAATTTAAACTTTCCACAAAGCTAACAGTTAGAGAAATAAAAATAAAAGTTGATAAATACGTATCATAACAGAGTATTGATGACAGGGTTGAAATAAAGTGGTACAGATTATTGTTCAGCTGGTTACATAACAAATAACATGGAAAACGAATAATTAGGGCAAGTGGTTGTCAGGTTATAACGATAAAAAAAATCACATAAACAAAGGGTAACAAAAATAAAGTAGACAAACACATCTAAGATAAATAATAGCAAATGGTCCTCTGTAAACCATTTTAGTTCATCAGGGGAAAAAATGAAATAAGGTTAGTTAACACTGATACTCAAGGTAATGATAGGTCGCACAAATTTTTTTTGGTCTGTAACGGTTTACAGCAATAACTTCTGCCATGTATAATGGGCGAATGATCAGTGTCTACTCAATGTGCGAACATTAAGCTTTTTATTGTCATTATCGATCCTTTACTCAGCTTCGATATTGAGGTGTTCAGATATTCTACAACAAACTTACCTATGTGTATGTGACTATCTCCATGTGACCAGTTCAGCTGGTATAGAACAGGCGAAATCAGGAAGTCTATCTTAACCTCCTGTATCTGGGTGATATTCTCTTTTGTTTATCTGGTCTGTAATTATACGTCTGCTTTGTGTAGCAAATCGTAGGCTTCTTGGTCAAGCAAACAAAAGCGAACTCGATATTTTTCGGGAATATACATTCGACTACTCAGACTTGATACAGTCCCACGAATGCTTACATGCTTTGTCTTTATCTAAATCTTGAATATGTTATTATTCTGTGTATTTCATTTTTTAAAATAAAATAATCTTGAATTTGCATAGCACTTCACATGGAAGATATTTGCCTATCGATAACTTTTTCTGACGTGCATATGTCCACCTAATTGAATAAGTTTTTTCATATTTGTCATATAATTTTAATAAGTTTACAATTTATTAATCACTTGGTCTATATTTTCAAGACATCATCCTTGTTTAACTCCCCAGCATTACTTTTAACTTACTAACAAAGTGCATAGATTCATTCTTTTGCCTGAATTTGTCTAGTTTACAATATTGTTATCTTTCACCATGTATCATCGAATTATAAGATAAAATTTATTAGTTTCTATTGGAGTGTGACTTTACAGTTACTTTCATAGTGTCTCTATTCATTCTTAACTATATTTTGTACATCCACGTACTGATTTATGCAGTTTGTCATAGCCAATATTCAATCGTATACGATGTCTATGTGTTTTTATTAGTAGGGTTTGGTTGAAGACGGGAGCTAGTCAGTATGATCGTATAAATTAAAAGCGTGAAAGGTTGAAAATGTATATAACAGCTAGCATCAATTGAATAAGAATTGGTTATCTATATATAGTCAGGCATATTTTGGATAACACGCTGGATTTTGGAGAAGGGAGTAGTTCGTCCAAGTCTCAGTGCGAACGCCATTTATGAAGATGAACTCAACTGATTAGTCCTGAGTAGGATAGTCACTGTAGAGTTGATGGGTTGTAGCTGTATTATTTCTGTATGCTATCATATATTTACTGATGGCGCATATTGAATGAAATATCACTTTCAGGTAGTATATCTTATTTAGAAGTAGTTTGCACTGTTATCTGTCTGTTTTAAGGATATCATAATAAGTTTACGAAGTGGATATTATTTTCTGTCAACTTTCTGTAGTCCTGGATAAAATGCCTTAGTTTTTAAAGCTGTAGTATCCCTGTTACAGAATCTATAAACTTCCTTTCAGGGATGGTTATATCCCTCATCTTTCTTACTTATTCGCTATACTTTTTGAATTCTCGTTTGCACCTTTTCTTCCCTCCCCTACGTGATCGTACTTCATATAATCTACCAGTGTTTTGATTGATTGCCATCTCTTTTAATCTACTAATTAACCTTTTCCTATGTATACTATCAGTTTATACTCATGCTTACTATAAACATAATTGAATACTAGTCTTCTAATTTCACTCTGTGAGTCTATCGGGTCACATCGTCTTTTAACCTCTCAACTTCTTAATAATTAATTATTTTCGTTCATTCCTGCAACTCTACATCATCAGATACATTGAATATATTATGAAACTACTGATCAGACTGCTTCTTCAATTTGAATTAGTTAATTTCATTTAAAGGAGAACGGAAGAGATCATCTTTCTTTTTCATAGAAGTTTAATGTATCTACTCAACATTATCACCGATAATCATAGTGATTATAAATGATCATGTTTTTCCATGCGTTGTTATCTTTTATCAATTGCATTAACTCTTATATTATGATTATAATAGAAAAAAAGTCTTAACATCCTTTTATGTGCATCATGTAAACTAAGATTTGAAAAAAAGCTTTCTAAACTTTTATGCCTAAAGACACAGAATGATAGCGTGACTTCTGTTGTGTTTGTATGCTGTTTTTTTTCCAATTAAAAACATACCGAATTTTTCATGTATAATATGTCACATGAATTTCATTTGATGATTACATTTTCAGTTTCTTTTCGTTTGAAGTTCATTGTTGCTATTATGTAATAATAGGCTTTCTGGGATCGATATCTATTCGGTCTTTTATTGCATAATTCATTGGTGAATGGAGGAGTAAGGGAGACTGAATTGTTAGTCATGATATATATATATATATATATATATATATATATATATATATATATATATATATATATATATATATACAGTTATTCACTTAGATGTTTCAAGGGCTAGTTTGAGGTCGATACAAGTTTATATGCATATCCATTCGGTGACATTTCTTAAATCATATCAGTTAGGGAGATTCAATAAACCGCTAGTGACTCATGTTGGGTTGGGCAGAAGTCCGCATGGTCATAATGGTAAACGGTAGAGTAGTTTAAAACCAGGTTATGGCTGCCTAGGACTGTTGAGTAACACTGTTGTATTTTTGACTTCTTGATTTGGTACCCGTTACCGTTATGATGCGTGGTATGTGTAACGATACAATGTTTCGACGCTATACGATTAACAATAGGACAATGACTTCTTAGTATGATATTCAGCTGACATGAGAAGGAGATGATTGGATTTAAAGTATGCTTACTTCAACCTAACGCCTTCACAGCTGAAAATTCAGTCGTTTATAACTCCTTAGATGACTCTGGCCATGGAAAACAACATAGCATATTGAAGGTATAAAATGGACCAATCAGCATTTAGTACCCTAAACTGCGGTAAGAATAAGTAACATTGGGTGGTGCAAGAAGAGAGCGAAAATAAAGTTTAAATTTACAATGATAGCATAAAACATAAGTTATTTTTTCTTAGGGATAAGGTATCACTATCAGTTACTATTCCTAACTTTGGTTGGTTCTATATGGTGTTGTTGCGCCGATTGACTACGTGCAGGTTCGATCATACTGCCACTAACTTCAAACAAAGAGAAAACAAATGTGTTTTTTTGACAGAAAGCGTGCGATAGTGGCAGGTTTAAAAAACTCGAGTTACTTTATTAGAATATTTTCATCGAATGAGAGATAAGGTCACTTACTATTGTTGGGTTGTTGCTCTCACCTTGTTTGGGGATACAACAAACACCATAGCTGAAGCTAATGAATAAAAAAAATGGTTTGACGATACAAAAGACATTAATGGCTCTGGGACTTTTGCTGTGACCGATAAAGTTGCCTGTAGAATCATTTAGTAGTCGTCTCATTGAACTTTTTCAATGCCATTTATAAAACTATTCGATTCATATTGGTTGAATAAACCCATTGATTTCTTTCGTGTTCGATTAAGAATGATGAATTAGGTGATAATATACTTTGTCTCTGCTTATCAGATCTCTATTTCAGTATCTGACTTTAATAATGACGCCGTTAATGTTGAATTTTGTTTGATATGAATATTTCATTCTATGATGAACAAATTATGCTACCATTAAGTATTACTGGTTAAGTTTTATCAAATGTTAGGGTCAGGCGAAGGGTATTAGGCAAAGCAGACAAGTCGATTAGTGAGTTTGTGGACCTTAGTCAGTCGGGATGACTTGAACATGTACTGCACATGGCATGCCGCCACCTACGTCGATGTGCATGCTAAGAGAAGTTGGATTAGTCTGAACAAGTTATCACACCAAGACGTGACACCAGTCGATAAAGTCCCTAACTGTTGATCTGAGGCATATGAGGAGATATTGACTGGCTAGCTGGGGTCCTCAGGATGATAGGGATCAATGGTTGAGGGCTGTTTATGTGGCTGAAAATTGATCACAATGACGCAGATGTATTCACTCCTTGACGTCTTTTGAAGCTTGAATATTCACACCAACCTTTATCTTCAAATTGCTTATTCTCTTACCTAACTTTGTCTACTTTTTTGTCAGTCTTTTTCTATTCACTTGTTCATTGTGTACTTCTGTGTGTGTATGTGAGGTTGGAGACTGTAGGTGATATAGCTCAGAACCGATGTCAATGGCGCAGATGTATACATACATTATCCTCATCTTAACGACGCTATTCCGAATCTCACCATTTTGTCACTCCTCTTTTCCTTCTTCTCATACTTTATTTTTCTTTTGACTGCATTCTCTTATCTTCATCCTTCACCTCACTACCTTTCTACTTGATGTACTGATATGAGCTGTGGCCAGTCGGACCGTTGCGCAGTAATGCCTGGTCCTATGTTGATATTGATTGATTGTGTGAGGTTCTAAGCTGATTTTGTTTATGTTATCCAAATAAAAATTTAGTTGTGTAAACTTTTCCATAATTACACAATACGTAATATGTTTTTTTGGAATTTTACTGAAGTTGTTCGACATTTCACTTGTTTACCTTTTATGCCGATTAACCAATTCATACTTTTATTCTGATTTTCCCCTTTGTAGTCGCGATCTTCTCGGGAGCATACGCAGGAATCGGAAAATTTACGAGCTCGAATCAGTACTCTTGAAAGTGAATGTTCTGAATTACGTCTTCAGTCTGCACGTATCAAAGCAGACAACCAAACTTGTATGATTGTACGTTCAAGACAGTTTCGTCCACATAGATCGTTTTTATCACTTATTATAAAGGGTTCTGCATTTGTTTCCCGTGTTTTTCTTGTATAAATGATGGCCAATCAGTTTTTATTTCTGCATCTGTTCAAGAATAAAACATTTGCTCAATCGAAAATGGTTGTTATGTTACTGGGCTACTGTACAACTTCGTCAGATGCAGAAAAACTCAGGGTTTTAATAACTCCTTTTAAAGTTTACAAACTTTTTGCTGCTTCCTATAATTTCCATTGATTCATGTTCATTATCTATTCTGCTGACGTTTGTAAATGCATCAATCCATTTTAAAAGTAGACGCATAGAGAAATTAAAAAAAAACCAAAACCACAGGTCTTGTAGCACGAGCTGGAGAGTAACTTTAATACCTCTGATTCTAATCTTATCGTGACAGATTCTTTTCCATTTCAGTGTTTACCTAATCAATACCATTTCGGTTGGTTTAGTGAACGAATTCTTACTCGTCCATAAGATAAAAATACACATCTCTATTGACTCTATGAACACATCAAAAGAAGTGGGTGATATGAAGAATTAGGCGTAGAAAAGCCCTAACATACTTCCCATATCATTTGCATGGGTGGCAGTAACACTAAGTCGATCTGTGGCTCACCAGTCGGGGGTTTGAACCCTTTAGGTTTGGACAACCAGATAGCATCATTAGCCTTCACACATTAGGCTTAGCTCATTGCCTAGTACACGAATGTGCACAAGGTAACTGAGTACATTCCGTTTTGACCACCCCGATCTCGGTAGGTAAAGTGGGTAAGCTAACCGGTAACTGTCTCATTGGTTGAAAGCCACCGTTCTAGGCGATTGACTAGTAGCTCTACTACATTCTTTGCAAACGAGTATTTATTTTTTTAGACATGTCTTGAATGATGAGAGATTAGTGATTTGAGTCAAGCAAAAACTGAGTTTATTTATTGTTCTTTGTTTGCAGTAAAACAGGTGAATCTTAAAAGTATTGGCAGTGTTTTCTCTCTTGTTTGCTATTTTGTTTTGTTGTTGTAAGAGAAATATACTTGAAATCAGATTGAAAGTAGTGTATCATGTGCGTGAGTGTGTGTGTGTGTGGGTTTGCGCCTGTGTTTTTGCATATGTAAGTACGATGGGAAAATGTGATATGTTTTGTGGTATTTTTCAGGCATTCATCAAGCCAGTTTTCTCTACTTCTTTTCACTTCTCTTCCCATCGGATGTGCTTAACACAAATAAATTCTTATCGTTCTAGTACTATGTGTATAGATCTACTGATTTGTATCAAATTTAGATAGTAGTTGTCTCTTATGCACATGTGGATGTATTTTCAAGGACATTGACTTTCAAGTTGTTATTCATCGAAGACTGACATCAGTTGAAATATTTCCAAATCTCCACAACCCCCTCAAAATTTGACATTGACTTTGAAAAATATATATAGAGCGTTTTCATACAGTTGCTGGATCTTGAAGTCATCTTCAATTATTAGTTCAATTTACTGCTTTAAGAAGTGATATTTTCGAGAAAAAGTATTATCTTGGCTGAGATAGATTGATTTCTGTCTGGTTGTTGATTTCCAACCGATGGGTCACGAGATGGAAACCCGCTCCATCTACCGATATTTGGGCAATAAGACAGTATCATTGGGACTTTCACAATCGGTGTGGCTAATTGCTTACGGCACGAATGTGCACAAGCTTATTGAGTTCGTTTCTTTTTGTTCTCGTTCATTAGTGGTAGCACAGTTGTTTTTCTTCAAGTAACAGCCTATTCCAAGTTATTCACTTAGGAATACTTTCATCTAATGAAATCCATGCATGTTTCGTCAAGATAGTTTCTTCGTTTTGCGTGAAGTGATGTCGGCTGAGTTGTAAGATGTAGGACTGTTCTGTACAATTCGAAGTCGTTTTTTGCTTGCTTGTTTTGCCAAATGAATTTCGCTATCGGAAATGTTGAAATAATCACCATTATCGCTATTGTTTTACATCTTATAGTCAAAAACGCATCAAAAAATTGAAATGTACTCATCAATTATATGGATGTCCATACAGTTGGGAACAAGGCAATTCCATTGCATGAAAGGTATTCCTAGACCTGGTGAAGTGGAGCGGGGTTGGGGCCGATGTCCTACCAGTTAGGCTTAGACGGCTTTGACAAATGCATCACACCGTTGACTGTGGCGATGTGGTTTATTGGCTTAGGCATTCAGGTTCCAAACAGTTAATCTTGGATTCAGTTCCGATTTCACCTACTACAGTCTTACCAACTGGTTTGTATCGTGAATCTTCATGCTTCTAGGCAGTTAGCCTAGTATGTAAACCTCTATCAGGTTTTTGAGTTAGTCAGAAGTTCCCGGAGTCGGACTGATCAAATGAGATATCCTAGTTGGTAGAGTATTTGGTGTACTACTTATTAGGGAAATGAATGAGTAAATGAGTAAGTGTAGTTAAAAGATTATTTTGGTCTCAGCCCTGTACGATTATCTACATTTGTCGACTGAAGCTATCCAGGAGATATCTTCATCATCAACTAATCATAAAGATTGCTGGTTTATGAGAAGTTCATTGACGCAAAGATATTTTTCACTACAGGTTGATGTCAGCAGCGGAAAACCAGTCTACATATACGATTCTTATGCGTCTAAATTGGCAAAAAATGTTTAGGAAATCCAATTCGGTTACATTAATCGATTCTTTCCTGAAAATATGCAACGGGGAAATTCGTATAATTTAATTAGCATGTTGAGATTTTAAAGGCTACAATGGTATATTTATATGTATAATTTTTAAATTTAACATCATAGGATCTCCGAAGGACTAATGAACAATTCAGTGAATCACAAGAACAAGTTCGCAGTCTTCAAGAAGAACTAAATTCCTTGAAAAATAAACATGCTAAGGAAATGGAGATTTTACGCAAAGATCGTGATCATGCTGTACATGTAGGTTGTATCTTTCATCTTATAATGCTGTATATAGTGGATCTTCTGTTTTCGGATCCTGTCTGTAATCATGTTGTTTTTACACTCTATTTCGGCATATCAAATTATTTTCGAAAGTTTACATATTCAAACTAATGATATAGTTATTTGATACACCGAGTCTTTTTAGAAGAATAAAGAGTTATTGGTAAATTCTTTCAAGTAGTCGGTTATTATGTCTTGAATGAGCGAGGGACCACTTGATCGACAGTATCTGTTTTTACAATGTAACATTCTTCACTTCTGATTAAATTATACCGGTAATCCATTGGAACGAGATCACTAGACTGGGTAACATCACCCCATAATAAATTGTATTTGATTCTTAGGCGTTGGAAGTCACTTGATCGAAAAGTTTATCCTCATAGATTTTCTTAAGTATACGTTTGTCTACACTCATACTTTGATGGATCATTTCATACTTCTGAGCTATTTTCACTTCTTCCCAATGGATTCTGCGTATCCGATGTTGAATGAGGTGCAGGTCACTGTAGTGTCAACACTAAACCTGATGATACTGCATTTAAATGACTGACTAGGTGCAACTTACACTAAAGATTAAAGTTACCGTTTGAAACGACTAGTTCGCCTTATGAATTTCCATCAAACAATGAGAAGACGTAATTTGTTTGAATTGTGTAATGTACTTAACCAGCACATTCAGAATAGTCTCATCACACACGTATTTGTTTTATTTCACAGTGGGTTGCAAAAGACAAACGGTTAGAATAAGAGTTATATCAAAGTAGATAAAAGTGTATACGGGGAGGAGGAATCTGAAAATGAAGATTAGTCAAAACATCTACGCCTCCAAAGACGTGAAAGAGTGATGAATACATTACGCCATCGTGACCGATTGTCATCGTTGTCACTAAGAGTCTTCAAGCACTGATTCCTATCGTCTTGGTAGGTAACCACCCACCTTCTCCTACACGGCTCAAACTGAGTCGGAGACTTCATGCACTGGTGCCACGTTTTGTTCTGGCCCCTCTGAACCTTCTTCAAGCCTAGTTCAGATTTGGGTAGACGGTGCCTTGGCACGCACAGCATATGTGCAAGGGACCTCATTCGCTGATAATTCAAAACCTCATCGACTGACTTACCTTTCTTGCCTAGTACCTTGCACCTGACCTCCACATTTCTCACATAAGGGTTCCACCATAATCGAGCAATGCTGCAAAGACAGCTATGGTCACATACCTATAGTCTTTTCATATCTTCTACTTTTGGTGGCCATATCTCACAGTCGCATAACAGGACAGTATACTCATCCTTATATATATAGGTATCTCGCCAGTCGGCGCCAGAGATAATGCAGTTTTGCAAATGGCAAACAGGCCTTCGATATCCAAGCTGTGTTTTCGTCAGCAACCAGCCTTTTCGAGTTGATACAACTTCCCACGTATGCGAAGTAGTCGGTGCATTCCACCACTTCAGTTTCTACTTTTAGACTGGGAGTAGTTGCAGACCAGTTTTAAAGTTGCATCTTACAGTCGACAGAAGCGGAACGGATGCCAAACATACTCAGATTTCTACTTATCGCGTTCTAATGACTTTCTCCTCACATATGCAGTCGTTTGATTTCCACTTGTTTTTTTAATGATACTGTAGTGTTGTAACTTGAGTTGATCCATTTTTGTGTGAGGTTTTATGTTGATTTTGTTCGCGTATCTGTCTGATCTATACACTGACGGTTTATGGCGAAGAGGACAGTTCGATTAGTGTATTTTTGGCAGACCGTATGGGTCTAGAAGTTTGGATTCTATTGACTTTAATGCGTTGAATTCGTTTTTAGTAGTAATATTTAACGCAAGAATTGTCGTTGTATTATCTGTCACTGTAACCTGTGTTATTTTCACATGTGAAGAACAATCTAGATAGAATTTTTCTTATCCTCAAGAATGGAGAACATTTTAGATTTGTAATCGCTTTTGTTGATGACCACAACTGAACCTTTATCAGGTGTCATCATGGTTTATATATGAATCTTGTCGTAGTTCTTTCGAAGCTCTGAAATGTTCGGGCATCAAAATATCTTCCTGTTTCTGATGACGTTTGGGGAACTGATGAACTATGTCCACCAACTTGTCTTTAAACCAATTCTGATCATAATGTGAAGTTGGAACAAAATGGGGGTTAAATTTGCCTGACAGATTTTCAAACTCTGCATTTATCGCCAAATATGAAAATGGCGTACAAGGAACACAAAATTTTGCTCAAAGGCATAAGGCTTCCTTCCGAAAAGCAGATAGTATAAGGTCAGAAAGAGTAGTCACATATCTGTCCAGACCAACAGAGAAAGAAGTAATATGGTTTTTAATCTTCAACTGAGTTGTTTACCTTCTTTTGGACATTCCTTTTTGTTTTGTTTCGAGTAAAGCTATTACAAAGCTAGTGATGTGAGTATTTCAAATGGCATATTATTGATATTAATATTATCGATATATGACTTTGTGAACCTGCTGCTCATTGGTTCAAGGAGATGACGATTAACCGATGAGTCACTGGTCCGAGCCCGGCTCCACCTACCGAAATTTGGGCAACCAAACAGTGTTACTAGGCCTCACAAAAGAGGTGTGTCTCATCTCTCACTAAGACGAATAGGATTGAAAATGTTCCACTACTATTTTACTGGATGTTAAAGTTTGATAAAATTGTCTGGGGTACATAACTGATAGAAACTCAACTTCCTCTCGTTCAACGGTAATTTTACACCTTGACGAAAAAATAAGACGTAGTTTGTCTGAAAATTATTTATTGTGTTCAATTCATGTATCTAATTTAGTCCTATCAAAAAGTCTTCAAATCAATAGCTGGGGAACTTCATTTTAAATCTAAGAGGTAGTATATTTTTCCCCTAGACTCGAGATGTCTGCAGAAGGTCCTGGTTTCAGTACTTTCTACCGATTATATTATTATTATGATTTTTTAAGAGAGTATTGAGTATATCCACCTATCTGGTGAAGAGTATTTACTTCCACCACTACTACTACTACTAACTAATGCTATACTTTAGGAAATAAAAGTGCTTTTTCCGTACAAAAAAAAGGAAAGTAATTAAAGTTTAAGCAAAATTTGTAACTCACATTGAAGTTGGAGATAAGCAGGTTGGAAAAAAATTAGGCACCCGAGGTTAGTTTTATTTTTGCAATTCTGAGAAGAAATTATGTACTTCGTAAACACTTTACACACAACTATCTAGAAAGTACGGTTAGCTGTATTTACTATTGCTAATTAGTTTACGGGACCGCAGCATATTGCTTATGAGAATTTTTGCAAAGTACCATATGTTCAACATTGCACGATGAACTGTAGATATAAATATTCACATAATTTATTATTAGTAGTTCATCTATGGTATGAAATTCATCGCTTAAATATACTCTAAAATGTTATGTATATATTTATGGTATCCAACTTAAAGGTTTTTTCTTGGTAGTTCAATGGAATGCATCATCTGATGTGCGAATTTACTTAGGAGAGCAGATTCAAAAGTCGTCTGTTGATTCATTTCCTGAAATTTGATACAAAAGTAATCTCATACTCTGTCCTTTTGTGGACAATATCTTCATTTCACGTGGTTTATAGATATGAGATGAGGGCAGAATATTATGAGATAATTACTCCTGATTGAGTAGTAGGTAGTTGAAATCTATACAAACAGTGATTTGTAAACTTTTCTATGCACCATTATTTAATTACTCATATGATTATTTTAAACATTGTACACTGCGAAAATCAAGAAATGCCTTCATGCTCTAAATGCATAGTCTTAAAACATTTAAACCTACCCTATTTTAGTCATACAGTTTGTTAATTTTTTTGGTTCATTCATCTGCAGTAAAGCAACATATATTAAAAGCCTTGTAAGTGGCACTCCGTCTTGGCAGAACGCTAATACATCGGTGTATAATGATTTTTGCTTCTGATTTACAACTCATATGTGAGTTTTCATCATAAAAAATGTCACGTTATAGCAATTTATTACCTTGTTATATGTACACAACTATTGTGTAACCAATTAGGTTGAATTAAACACTCTCCCACATGTTCATTTTTATAGCTGCTTTTAATGCATTTCACTGAAATAGTTCACTTTTTAACAAAACCATCTTCTACATACACAAATCACTGACATGTAAAGGCAAGAAAGAAAAAAGGAAGAGAAATAGAAACTGTCTTTGTAAAGTTAATTTTTATGGTATACAATTCAAGTGTGAATGATTACTGATAAACAAATTAATGTGATTATCGACTGATAAAATGTCTCTGCTTAATTTACTGGAGAGCGAGTTAGTTTTACTGGGAAGCACTAATTCGTGCTCAGAGAAAGAGAGAGAACCCTAACTTCTGTGGGATAAAGTACTTACGTCAATATCACCTATATTTTTAAGAAACGTTAGCTGCACGGTAAACGTGTACTGAGAATGTCTCTGTATGCAGTATGGCCACAAATAGGATGGTGCACGTTGTCATCGCAACTGGTTTTATCCCTTCCTTTTCTCATTCTACTTCTTTTTATGGTGTCGTTCACGCGTAAAAGTTTGTTTACACAGAAACAGTCAGAATTGACCAAGAGTTTTCGATGATATGATCACATGATTTGTATCATTTGTTATGTTGCTTTTGTTGTTCTCTCCAATATTACTATTATTAATATTACTTCTGTAGTTATCTGATGACCCTGTAGCTACTACTGATGGTTAAAATGATCATTTTTTTTTGATTTTCTAATCTGTAATTAATACATAGATATGTGGAGTTATTTTTTTCTGTGGACATACTTTTGAATCCTATCCAGTGTATGCTCATATCTTGTTTAGGAATAGGTACTCGCTTTTCATACGGTGAGATGTATAATACCAAGTGTAGCTACGTCAGTTAATATGATTCAAGTGAACTGTACATAATATCCACGTCTATTTGTACATGATATACTGTTGACTAAGATATATATATAT